CCATCCGCTCTTAACTCCGACGTGTAAACACTGTCGGCCAGTGCATCGGACTTTGAAAGCAAAGTGCACTGGCTCGTTAGAGCGTCTGGTCCACTTGGATCATCCGGGGGGGTCTCGTCCGCACGTGACTGACGCGCACACATACCGCGCCCGTAGCCTGCCGTTGGCGGCTATTTGGGCTGCAGTGGTACTCTCCGTTGCAGGGGGCTTATAAAAACACAAATGTACTCAAGAATATATCAGAGGCACTTTTACATATATGTCTGACTGCATACACGAACGCCTTACTCATCACCAGCAACTTGGCGGTGCGCAGGCGGTCACTTCCTCAGGGAGCGTGTAGATCACGTGCGAATGAGGCCCCCCCGGATGATCCAAGTGGACCAGACATTCTAGCGAGAGACTGCACATCACCATTGATGTCCGACGCAGTCTCCGACCGGCGAAGTCCGGGCGCGCTAGAATGGCTGGGGACGAGACTAGTCCATGGTGCCCCACATCCAAACACTGCATGTAGCTGACAAATGTACTGCGTTGAGAACATGCGTAGTGCACTGCGCCGAAACTTCCGAGATTGCAAGCCAGGCGGAAGAGGCCGCAGGTGCCGCGGCGACTTGGGCATGGAGAGCGCATTGATAAATAATCGATGGAAGTCATGTTTTCTATCCACTTTTCACGTACGCTTATTTCATAGTCGCGATGCGTGGTCATAGCGAGCCTTAGCCAAGTCAAACAGCGTCTTCGAGTCGGTATGTGCGCCACACCTGATGTATGGCGTGTCGCAAAATAGGAGGGTAGAGAAGTATCTTCCACCACGGCTAGCAAGAGCTGAGCGAGATCCGGGCTAAGAAGCGGTGGTGTACTTACCAAGCAGCTACCTCAATAATCCACCTTGTGATGGCATACCGTGAGCCCAGCACAAAGTAGAACAATAGCCCATCGCTCACATCTTCCTCAGCCATCACGCGTCAAGGACGAATGTATCCTCGAAGACCTGATACATGATCGGAATTGTGATTTCGGCCTACACGCCGGCCGCGAGTCCGTGGCAACAGCATCGCCGAATACCGGCAAGTCGCACGTACCTTCTATTCAAGCAAGAAGACAAAATGGATGTGGAGTGCTGTGTGTGTCCCCTCCATTGAAAATGTCAATAACCTCGAGGGTCAAGCTGCTCACGAGCAAGACGAAGTGGAATAGACAAACAGGCAGAAGCAGACCTTTACTCCCTTGTCACTAGGCGAGCCTTATACCAGAAGGACCTCACTATGGCCGCAACCTGAAAGCGTAGATACTGGCTTGCCAAAAGCAGACACGAAAAAACGTGTTGTAGGTCGTGCAGTAAACATGAGGAACTCGCGATATGGTTCGATAGAGCCGCCCATTAGAGCGTTATGAAAGTGATACGTAACGCACAGCTGTTCGTGTCCCCTCAGGGCCTGATACGCGTTGCTGCAATGCACCATAGTTAACGTTCAGATAAAAGCGTCTGAATAATGAATTCGGAAGCATAGTCTGTGGAAGAACTCAGTTCAGGCTGCCCCTCGCGCCACTCAATAATCGCCATGCGGCGTGCGCCCAAGGACCCTGGCTGTCTACTCAGCGCATTGCAAGCGCATGTATGCCAAGCAAGCTAGTAAACCGGGAGAACTGTGGCAGCTGGGCGATCGCCGAGATGGCGTACTCCGGGCGCCTGGACTGCTGGAGCCACTGGCAGTAGCGTTCTTCCTTCTTTCGGTCTCATTAATCGTTCCCCCGTGCTGTTCCTCGTGCAACTCTTCCTATTTTCTGCCACTAACAGCTTACAGGGTTCATTATGAAGCCTTGAGCTTATATAGGCGTGGTCAATCACGCTATACCAGAGGATTAGCAGCTTGGACTATAAGCACCATACCTCCATTTTCCCTCAAACGCTACCTTTCTTCTTTCTTTCCTACATACACAAATGGCCAATAAGCTGGTGCGCAGGCCTATCTTGTATGCTGTATATGCGTATTGACCATGCTATGCTCCTCATCGTACGCAGTCTGATGGTATGGCTTTATCACCATACTGTACGCAGCGCGTACGATACTAACCTCTCATTTCGTCAAAAAGAACAGAAATCTGGTGCGTGCCGCGTTTTGATCGGAAATTACGTCCCATGGCTGACGAGTCCCCTGCCACGCAGACTTCCGGGAAGCCTTTTCCCTCTTTGACAAAGGTTTGTCACAGAAGTATCTGTCGCTCGACACATCACATTAATCTCGTCGCAGACAGCGATGGCACCATCACTACCAAGGAGCTTGGAACGGTCATGCGCTCGCTAGGCCAGAACCCGATCGAGGCGGAGCTGCAGGACATGCTCAACGAGGTCGATGAGGACGGCAACGGCACAATCGATTTCAACGAGTTCCTGACAATGATAGAGCGCAATATGCGCGACATAGACTCGGAGGAGGTGACCAAGGAAGCTTTCAAGGTCTTCGATAGTGACGGGGACGACTACATCTCCCCTGAAGAACTTCGGCGTGTCATGACCAGCCTTGGTGAGTCTTTCGCTTTCACATCTGTGGGCCAGCTGGCAAGCTAGGGTGCTGATGTGTCACTCTAGGCGAGAAGCTATCTGATATGGAGGTCGCTGAGATGATCCGTGAGGCAGATGCCGACCGCGATGGCAAGATCAGCTATCAGGGTACGTCCCTCACCATGCCGTCTAGAGCGTCCCATCGGATATTCATCCTCCCCAGAATTTAAGGACGCGATGTATTTGAAGTAAACATCGAAACACTTGCCTTTCTTTCAAGTCTATCACTCTCTGGCTTCATGTGTTTCGCATTGTTGCGTTAATTGGATGGTCCGCAAAAGTCGTGTAGCATAGCTTGTATTTTTTTACCCCGTGCATACCTGAAATGCAAGTATTCGGTTTCTTAGTTCTTGCTGCTCCCTTACACCCCTACTGTCCGATAAGTATAGTGTTGTCCTATCGCAGCGGCAGCTAAGGCACTGCGCGAGCCGCAGCAGCGGCGCAAAGATCCTTACCAGAAGGCTGTCCTAGGTCGGTCACGACGATAGCTAGTCGAAGAAATTTTCGAATGTATTTGTATAACCTTCTTGTCCGGCGTATGAACCCTGGCTACGAAGAATCTGCCTGGTACCCATATACAACACAGCGAAATATACATGAATAATAGATAGAGCGCAATGCGAATACCATTCAACACAAACACGCGTACAAGCGGGCTCGATTTTCACGGAGGAAGTTAAAAGCTGGTCAGATCAAGGGTCGAGTACTCTGCTTCATACGCTACCATCAGAGTTGTCGTTTCCTGTAGTCGCGTCGGAACTACCCCCAGCGAACATGTGGTGCGTAGCGGCAACGCTGTCTACGACGGTGTGCGCGAACTCGATTTCTACGGCACTCGCGGGCATGCCGGCAGAAAATGTGCTCCAGCCAAGGTGTTTCCTAGAGCCAAGCTCGCGCAGGTCGAGAATAATCCGCGTAGTGAGGATCGAATGAAACATGCGCTCCGGTCTATCATGCTGGTCAGACATCCGAAACATCAGTGCAAAAAAGGCCGTAGCAGCTTACATCGCGAACAAATTGATGAGACCGGCCTATGCGAGGGGGCATGGTTGTTAGTCACGGTCGATAGTTGGGCTGTGCACGCAACGTACGGGTGTGGTGAAGATGACTATCACGTTTGCGATTGATAAAATGAAAAGATATAAATAAAATATAGTGCCTAGGGTATTTGTCAACAATTGTGAACTACATAGAATGCAATATGGGCGTACCGTCTCTGAATACGGTCCTGAAAACTGCGGAGTCTCTGGTGTGTCGATCTATGAGGGCAAAGTTATTCATCAGCGTAGCTTCCCAGCGAAGAAAACGAGGAATCGTACAGTTCCTGAATGCCATGAACGCCATGAGGAACATAATCGCTATGTCGGGTCGTTAGATGGCCGCGAAATCGACAAAATTGCATGCTCACGAGCTTCAGAAACCATGATCAGCAACCAGCTAATGAAGAGGATGGAGCTGCCGGCCGTCACATGACAACCTATTCCAGGAGAGTTTTGCACTCCAGGAATTGGCCCAACTTCGAAGCGTGGGATTAGAGAAAGGCGTCTGATGACACGAAATAGGCTCACATTGTAGAGACTGTAGGAATATACCGACAGTGGCTAAATTTGGCACCCAAGTGGCGACGGTCCAAACCCCCAGACCGATACCGACTGAGCGCCGTCGTTCGTATACCGCCCATGTACGGAGCATAAGGATGACTGTAGTTCGCTCAGCAACATGACATCGATACCGAGGAGAGCGACTGCCGCACCTTCCGCAAGCAGAATACCTGTTATGTTCGTCCCTGAGAAACCGATGAGTGCATACCATTACTCTCCAACAGCTAGAATCTTACAGCCCGTCCACTGGTAGTTGATGTAGCAGCCATTCGGGCTTATATCAGTGGTGATGAGCGCTGTGAAACGATTGGATTCAGACAGCTAGACGGCCACAGGAGTGGTGCTTACGCCAGATCACGACCGCGAGCTCGACGAATGTAGTATAACGCGTGACGAGGAAGAGCACTTTGATTGCGGACCAACGTGAACGCCATACCAGATCAATTTCTCTACTGAAGGTCAGCATGAAGTCGTATATCTGCGAGCAGCCATGAGTCGCGATGCAGAAGATTACAGACATGCTATTACGACTGACCATAAGGGTGCAGCTGACGACTGCAGAATTTGAATGTCAGCCGTGTCGATTGGATGCCATTTGAGATACAGGCGCACCATCGAAATACTATGTCACGGACTTGGTCAGTATCTCAGGCCATACCTGATACAGAAAAAGCTGCTCACATTGGTAGCGCGATTGTACAGCAAACTGAGATCCAGTGAAGGATCCGTATACCCGGCCATACCTGAGTTTTTGGATAAGTTGTCAATGAGAATAGGCGAGTTCCTTGAGGACGAAGGCTTGAAAGAACCTTTTATCTCCCACCCGAGGTTAATATGGGCCCTTCATGCTGCTTTGCAAATCCAAGGCAGTGAAAACGTATCACTGATGCATCGCAAGAGCTACAATGTGAGAGACAGATGGGACCTAGAAAGAGCGTTACTGCATTCCAGGGCAGCTTCGATGCATGGCTAGACAATCTAGACCATACGCGGGCTCTGTAGTTTGCGTCCGAGAGGTATCGTTGTCCAGTGTCAAGTTGTATGCCTCGTGCAGCAAACCGGAAAGAAGCAACCGCGCTAGTGTTTGAGACTATCGTGAACCAATATATCTGCAATATTCAAGATACCAGCACTGTATGCATGCTGGAGACGCAGCGGGATCTCCATGGCCTTAATCTGGAGCGTGAGCTTCTCAGGGACATAACATTGAGACGATAATCAGTGTTGTCTTCTGGTGCCTGGTGCTCACTCACAATACTCTCACAGTGGGCGCGAACGTGCGTCCACATCACCGAATAGAACGCAAGTATCGCAAGCGGAAGTGTGAGCGGAACAAATGACTGTACTGCATCCTAGCATCCATGCTGTAAAGAAGTATGTGTGAAACCGGATATTTTGTAATTTGCCAGTACACAGCCGCTCCTGGGAACAACAACGCAGGTGTGAGTCGTCAGCGAGCACGGGCGGATGATAACGTCGTATTTTGCGGGACGCCGATTGAGAACTATCAGACTTACTTCACAAACATCAAGGGACAACTCGTGTAAAGATGCATCTGCCAAGACACCGCGGTCAGAACGGAAGCCAGCGGAAAGACGAACGTGTGTAGCCGGCAAAGCTCGGCATTATCCGAGCGCCACAAAGCCATTTCGGAAGTTTTATCACCGAGCTTTGATGCGCCATGGCGCATCAGTTCTCCTTCAGGGGAGCAGTGGCTGACTTTTAGACTGGCAACGCTTAACTTGAGCGGCAAGTTGTTGCAACCAATGGACGTTGGGAACTTTAATTGGCCGATGTTAGTTATTAGCTTTAGTAAAGTAAGTACTCGGTCGAGTCTCTAAATGCCTTCACACCCACTTCACCCACTTTCAGTAATCACGATAGTGCACCCAGACCGGGGCTTGTCGAGATCTCCAGCGGCGGCGACTCCATTTGTAAATGTGGTCTCAAAGCCCTTCTGTCTGTTGTAGTATTTGAGGCGCGAGGTGCGCTGACCCGCTGGATGCGCATCCACCGCGCCGCGCCGAGACACCGACATGACGCGCTAGGCGTTTCCCACAGTCACGTGGTTGGCAGGTTTCAGCTGGAGTACCGTCGAAACCTGCCACCCTATGATGTCATCGCCCTCTTACCAGATTTAGATATGACGCGCGCAGAGCGCACTCGGCTCTGGCGCCCTTTCACTCTCCGCTATGTTTCCCTTGGTCTCAGCTAGTCTCGTCCCCAGCCATTCTAGCGCGCCCGGACTTCGCCGGTCGGAGACTGCGTCGGACATCAATGGTGATGTGCAGTCTCTCGCTAGAATGTCTGGTCCACTTGGATCATCCGGGGGGGCCTCATTCGCACGTGATCTACACGCTCCCTGAGGAAGTGACCGCCTGCGCACCGCCAAGTTGCTGGTGATGAGTAAGGCGTTCGTGTATGCAGTCAGACATATATGTAAAAGTGCCTCTGATATATTCTTGAGTACATTTGTGTTTTTATAAGCCCCCTGCAACGGAGAGTACCACTGCAGCCCAAATAGCCGCCAACGGCAGGCTACGGGCGCGGTATGTGTGCGCGTCAGTCACGTGCGGACGAGACCCCCCCGGATGATCCAAGTGGACCAGACGCTCTAACGAGCCAGTGCACTTTGCTTTCAAAGTCCGATGCACTGGCCGACAGTGTTTACACGTC